CCAAGGCTTTTGTTTTTTTAAAGTTAGCCATACTGGTTGGCATGACTGACTGACTGACTGTTCGTTCATTCATTCATTCATTCATTCAATAACTTACCCAAGTACTTATTGTGTATAAAGTGTCCAGCAGGGTATCTTGGGGATCCAAGAAGTTAGTGAGATCTCTTTCCTAGAAGAGTTCCAAGACTGAAGCAAGAAGACAAAGAAGTATACAAATTCTTCCATTACACAGAGAGGACTTATGCCACAGCTGAGTCATCAGTGAGGATAGTGACCAAGAAGGGCATCTTTGTAGCCCACCGGGACAGCTGTGTTCAACCAGTGGCAGAGGACCAGCACTCAAGAGTAGCTGAGTAGAAACATCAGCATAGAAGGTGCAATCTCATTGCCCAGAGGCTACTCACCCTTAATACACTAGGCTCACATAAGCACCTGGGTTCTTCTAGAATACAGCCAAGGTGAAGAAAATCCTCATAGTGGCCAATTTCTACTTTGCCAAGTAGAGGTCTCACCCACATTTAGTTTCCCTTAAGATAACATTTCTCATATTCAAGTGTCATGGATCAACAAATCAACATTCTTGAGCTGGGGAGATGGCTGAGTGGATAACGTACATTCCATGCAAGTCTGAAGACTAGAGTTTGGATCCCCAGATAAAGCTGGAATTAGCATCAGTAGTGGGCAGCTGTAATCTCAATGTGTACCTATGACAAGTGGAGACATGAGAATCCCTAGAAGCTCACGTCCCTGGTATATGCAGAAGTGAACAATTAGAGACCCTGCCTCAACAAGATGGAAGGCAAGGACTGACACCCGAAGTTGTCCTCTGACCTCCACATACACACTGTAGCATGCACTGCCCCCCAACATACACACAAACGTGCACACACATACACACAATGTACATAAACACATTTTGAAACAAATTCTTTTTGCTTTTAGTTTTTCGAGACAAGGTTTCTCTGTGTAACCCTGGCTGTCCCGGAACTCACTCTGTACACCAACCAGGCTGGCCTTGAACTCAGAGTTCCACCTGCCTCTGCCTCCTAAGTGTGGAGATTAAAGGTGTGCGCCACCACTGCCAGGCTCAAAACAAATTTTTAATTTATACTAAAATTTTGCACAGAGAATACAGTGTTTCTCAAGAATGTCATAGTTGTTTTTTGTAGGGAGGCCTTGCCATCTAAGGAGATAGTAATACTTGAATGTGTACAACATGGCAATCGTGTTTACTATCATGAGCAAAGCTAGCTGGCCAGGAAAAAGAGCATGCAAAAAATGAACTCAAGCCCTCATCAAAATCAGCTGCAGACTCACACCAAACCCTTTCGGTATTGTTATCTGCTTTATTAGAAAGTCCACACGGAGCCGGGCAGTGGTGGTGCACGCCTTTAATCCCAGCACTCGGGAGGCAGAGCCAGGTAGATCTTTGTGAGTTCGAGGCCAGCCCGGTCTAAAGAGCGAGATCCAGGAAAGGCACAAAGCTACACAGA